CCTTAACTTTCACAAATTAATCTAATACATATTTCTCTGTCTTAAAATTCATCTTAAATTTTGAATTTTTAAGATCCGAAATTGGTTTTCTGATTTATTAATAGATGTTAACTGCCTCTTACTTGAATCATTCAAAAAATTCATAGTAAATCGTGATTTTGATTATCGTTTGTTTCATTATCATGCTCGTAAAGCTAAAACTCTCGAAATGATTGTTTCCTTCTATTTTGTTTATAAACACTTGAAATATCAATTTCAGAAGAGTTATTCTTAAAAAATAATAATGATAAATAAATAATAATAATAAATGAGTAATAATAATAAATAAATAATAATAAATAAAAAATAATAATAAATAAATAAAATAAACTGTTTTGAGCTAACTTCAACACCTTTAATATAGGCGACGGTATTTTTTGATTAGAAAACACACACTTATTAATTTAAATCATATTTTTAAAAGTTATATGGTGGACTGACTGAAAAAAGAAATTATGATGCGTGATTATCTAGGAATGTGCTGATTCATGGGTTTGAGTGCACAGGGTTTGCCATAATGATCACCTAAAATGAATATTCTCACAAACCTTCCAAAAAGTATACATATTAGGGTAAAAAGAAAAAATCTAAAAGCTATCAAAATCTAACGAATTATTATTGAGGAAAAAAATACTCAAAACATCGTTTGATGACCGGAAAAACCGAGAAAAACTGTATGGTTGTTATAAAAAACACTTTAAATTTCAACCCAAACTAATTTTAACGTTTTTTTTATTTTTTTTTCTATCCCGCCGTCCTCATTAGCAATTTGATAGATTTCTATAGCGTTTTTGCTTCTTGTTCTCACAGATATAAATTTTCGATCTTTCATGTGTATACTTCTAGTACTTTATTTCTGATAAGAAATCTAAAACGGGGGACGGCCCACTATAAATATAATCATGTAATGAGAAAATTTTAAAATATTTCATTTTAAATTTCAATATTTTCATTCTCAATATTTTGAATCTCAATATAATATTTCAACTACATCAATAAATTAAGTGGCAAACTGATCTGAGATAGTTTAAAAGTAAAAGATATGATAATGAATTTAGGACAGAAATTGGGAACTTATATTACAACCATCGTTTTATCATCGTTTCTTCAACCTCATATTACAATCATTTTCGAAAATGCAAATAGTCTATATAGATTAAAACAATATTTAAAATATTTCATCACATTCCTTAAGGGCTAACATACCAAGCAAATCGGAACTGTAATTGAGAGCAAAAAGAGAAAAGGAATAGAAAACTATTTTTAAAAATTCAAAATTCTCACATTTAAAAGTGAGCTCACACTTTTGTTGCCTATTTTACTGTTTAACCAGATAGCAAAATATTCAAAGCAAAAATATTCTATAAGGTTGAAATTATTCGTTACTTTTTGTACTAGCCGATACTATGCAGAATACGTTAATCATATTTGCATAATACCGCCCATACGTGGTATGTGTAATTAGCAACACAAAGATATTCTTAATTACGAATTTTTAGAAATAAGCTCGAGCATATTTAAACCATTTAGAAGTCTAAGATTAAAAAATTTTTAGTATTCATTTTTTCAATGCAATATTATTTTTAAATTGCTAAACAAAGGCTATTAGTATATAAACTATGAAACAAAAATATCGCCAAATCGTTTAAGGAAATAATTTTATTTTTAGCTTAGAAATAATTATGAATGAAGTACAGAAATCTGAAAATGAATTGAAAAATAAATTTCTGATAAAACAATTATAAAAATAACAATTCAATTAATTGAAGATTCAAAATTATTATTGCATAGGGAGACTTCGGGGCTCTTTAGCATTCAATTACAAGAAATTATAAAGTTATGCTCTTGGCTATAAATTTTACTAAAAAGATTTCCTGATTACTGATGCTAATTTTAAGAATGTTTTGTTTGTGAAATTTCTTTGAAATCCGATTTCCGTAAGAAAACAAGTTCAATCAGTTTTGTTAATTTGAATGCATTATATCATAAGGGGAACAAAATCCTAAAATGCTTCGAAATTTCAAAAAAATATTCTTGACTAAAAAAATAAAAAATTATTTTTGTCATTTGGTTGTTTAAAAATTATTTTATTTATCAATAAAATAATTTTTAAAGATTTAATATCAATTATAATAGCAATTTTGCATTAATTGCACAATTAGATTTTTATCCTCATGAAATATTTTTTTTTTTTCATTTTCTTTCTTTTTGGCTCTCGCGTCTGGATTTACTTTCAATTTTCCTGAAAGTCTGATATTAGCATTTTGTATCGGTTTAGAATAGCGTTTCCCAAAAAATGTTCCATAGAAGAATCACAGGAGCTCAGAAATTTACGATTGTTCTTTAACCGTTAATTTAACAATCATCCATATACCCAAACAATCATCCATAATTTATTTAATATTTCGGTTGTTTATATGAATTTATTTCTGTAAAATTCTTATGATAAAAATGTAACAAATTTGAAAAATTAAAAATATGTTTTTTTCTGTAAAATCTATTATAAATTTTTAATATTATATATTCCATTCCTTACATTAAGTATTTTCAAAATAATTAATTTTATTTTTTTGGTTAGTATATTCACGGCCTCTAATGAGCTTTTTTTTTTAATAAAATGCCAGGGTTCCCCCAAAGACATATCAATTTACGTATTATTAATTAAATAAAATATTACAAATTACGTAATATTTTTTCATAATAATCAATTTACGAAGATAAATTTTTTAGATTTTCTGCTTACAATTGGAGACACGAATGAAAATGTTTGTATTTCACTGTTTCTGATTTTCTTACAATTTTGTTCGAAACTTTATTGATAGAAATATTGATAAGTTTATTGTGTTTTGAATAAATCAGCAATTTTTTTTCCTAATACTGCTGAAGACAAATAAAAATGTATATGTTTCATAACATATTAATTTACTTATTATTAATTTAATAAAATATTGCAAATTACGTAATATTTTTTCATGATAATCAATTTACGAAGATAATTTTTTTAGATTTTCTATTTACAATTGAAAACACGAAGGATAATTTGCAGCCATAATTTGCTTAAATTGTTAAAATTATACTAATAAATTTTATTGAGAAATTTCATACCAGTTTAAATAAGAAAAATTCTATCATTTTTATGTAAACGTCCTGTGTTTCCTTACAAAGTGATTTTAGTCTATCATAAACTAAACTCAAGTCGCAAAATATCTCGAAATCAATTATCATTTTATTCAATTATTTTTGTTCATTTATTTAGACAAATATATTTTTCAAAAGAAAGATTTTAAATTCTAGGTTGGAAAAGGTTTGTCAGCAAGGGCGCCGGCAGCGGGGTGCAAAGGGGTGCACTTGCACCCCCCTGGCTTTTTTTTAAACAGTTAAAGAGATACAGAAAAACAATTTTGTTACAAAAGTTTTTATTAAACATATTTTTTTATTGAACAAACTTGGCAGACATCTAAGCTATATTTTTAAATTTCATTTAATAAAATATAAGTAATATTATATTTTCTATTAGTTATTTAGTTTAACAAAGGTGTATAACACTAACTGACTTCTCAAACCTGTGAAACTTCATCAACACAATAAATACCAATGTTAAGCGTGCACAAACACGTTAGTATACGAAACTACTGTTTGTAGTTATTTGTGTTTCAAAGTCAGTAGCTCTGCCAGCGCCATCAGTACAGTTTCTCGTAGCAAAATTTGCAAGTACAAGAAATTCGTATATATCTTGTTAACAATGAAGAAATGTATCTTGAAAAAATTAACAGATGAAAGTATATGTAATAACAAAACAAAATGTAATAACCGAATATTTTTAATTTTTTTGTGTGTGTGGGGGGGGGGTAGTTTGCTAGAGGGTTGCACCCCCTTTTATATTATTCTGCCGGCGCCCTTGTTTGTTAGGTTGCTATCTAATTTGTACGCAGATTCAAGGCCCGAATGATGGAACCTAAAACCATCAATAAATTGGATACCTTCATTAATTCTTGCCATTTCAATACTATTTAACACTTTATTTCCCATATTTTGCCTTCATTTTCTCATAATTATATTTAAATTAATTCATGGTTTTATTTTCTTAATAAAGTAAATTTTTTGACAAGTTCAATAACTAATATACCTTTCACTTAATCAATGAAAAAGTAAATTTATTTTCAGATGTTTTTTTTTCCTAATTTCCCTTTCTTTAAATTTTTTAATTGTCCAATTTAATAATTTATATTAACAACATATGAAAATGTTCAAATGGTAAAATATTTTATGTAATGGTAATATTTTTCGTAATGTAAATGAGTAAATATTTTATGTAATGGTAAAATTTTGTAGTTACATACTTAAACAGGGCTCTGCCTCGGGTAAAAGTTTGCGCTGTGCCTGTAGCTGTAGTAATTAAACCTTAAAAATATATCTGATATATTTCGATTTGCCTGTTGTGAATTTTGATCAGAAAGATAGTAATTACATAATACCAATTTTTAAAAAATTCCCCTGAAATCCAATTTTTATTTGAAATGTATGATAATTTTCAGTTTTAATATTTTACTTTACTTTATTAGACTTTTGGATGAACCAAAGTTTTACAGAACTATATTAAGAACGTTTTTTAATTAATTGGGCATTCATTTTATTTTTAATGTTATAGTAAACGTATTATTCAAATATTACTTTCAAAATTTGTTCAACTATTTGATAAAATGCCATTGATTTTAAATGTTTCCCTATCTTGCTAGTACCTACCTATTTAGTACCTAGTATGTATTTACCTATAATAAAACAATTTCTCTCGCTTTTATTTGATTATAGCTGTAGTAGGTGGCAGCACTATTTAATTATTACAAACAAACTTTATCTTAAAATTTTTGTCTCTTTCTTCTTCAACATTGCCTACACAACAAAACAATTGTCAATGGGGGAAAAAAAAGAAGTAAATAACATATTAAATTTACAGATCAATTGTGTTCTAAAATATAAACAATGAATCATATGAATGGAAACAATGCAAAGATTGATATGTCTAGAAAGTATGGCCAAAGCGTGCTAGTTTATCGCATTGAAAAGTTTCATTTTAAAGCACAAAATCAAAACAGAAAACAATAACATAACCTGAAATTTGATATTCTGATCGCAAAGATGATACTCTCTTAAAAAAAATCGGCGTCGCTAAGAAAATAAAATTTTCCCTAAATTGTAAGTTTAAATAGTTAACTTCAAGTGTTACTATGGCTGCTGGAGAGGTAAAATTTTCTGCACAATTATTTTTTCCTGTATTATTTAGCAGAATTTTTTTTTTTTTTTCTTGTTTCCCGCTTTTCTATTTAAAATATTTTTGAAATCTTATGCATAAATTTTTCAATCAGTTTTGTTGCATCTGGTACCAACTGTTATATCTGTTTCCTTTACTGAATACAGTTATTTTAGATGTGGAAAATTTAGTAATTGGTTGCATAAAAAGATAATTCCTTAAGATACATTTTCATTGTAAAATAATTTAATTATAAGTGTTCCCAAGTAATCCCTTATCTTTTTTTTTTTAAGTGATTCGTTTTTGCGGAAGTTTTAAATGAAAATATATTACATATATATATATTACATACATAATTTTTTTTATTTATTTATTACTATTTAATACTTTTCTTTTTGTCTTTAACAGGGTACAAATACATTGTCAATGAGAGAGAAAGCTTTGCTTAAGCAACATATAAACAATCATCATGTTTCTGCACATCCAGGCTATGTTCCAGTCTCAGAATTATATTTGCATAAAACTGGCTTGAGGGGAAAAAAGGGCATCATGTTTTATGCATTGGTTGTTTTACTATTTACAATTGCTCTTATAAATTTAGCTGTGAGTATGTCAATTGATATTGTATCTTGTTAAGTATTATTTATATACATAGAGAGAGTGATTTTTTTTTTAATGTCTGTCTACACTTATGAAGATATAAGTAACATATCTATATAAATTTGCGAGCATGTAAAAGTCTTGGCCTAGGGTTAAAAGATGTTATCAATAGACCAAATACTGCACCTATTGTAATTGTTTTATAAACATTTATAAAGCTTTTGATAGACCAAGGGCCATATTAAGCGTACGTGGGGCTCTAGGCCATTCAATCTTTTGGGGCTCTCAGATTAAATTTTTTTCTTGTATATTTTTTATTTATTCAAATATCAAAGTATTTATATATCTTTTCATTTAAGAAAGCATATTTAAAAGAAAAATAAATAATAATAAATTAAATTTTACTTTATTTTATTAAATTAGAGCTAAAAAATAATCATAACATTTTGAAAAAATATGAAAAATCATTGCTTTTCTCAATTTTTTAAAATTTATTTTCAAAAAATCCCTTTTAAGGGGGGCCCTAATCATTGGGGGCACCAGGCCATGGCCTAATGGGTAATGCAGCCCTGGATAGACCCTAATGTTTTCTTACAATGAATCGAAGAAACAAATTCTGTTCGATTTCTAATTTATTTTTGAATAAAATTATTATGTTAATGTAAAAAAAATAATAAAAGTATTCATGCCCTCCTACTATTACAAAATTTCCATAGTTTCAGAAAAAAATTTCCTAGTCATTGAAAATGTAATTTATTAATTTTTTAAAAAAATTCGAATTGAAAGAATTTTGTCAACCACTACCTAAATAATATAAATAGGCTTATAAATTGTCAAATATACAAACTACGATTCAAATTTACAAACCGCCATATTAAGTTCCAATAAAAGTTTTATAAACATTCTATTTGCTTTTAAAAAAATCTCTGCTTTTGTGCACTGCCACTTTTGTGAAAATTAATTTGTAAACATTCCAAATGTTGCAGGATATTTTTGTGCAACATAATTTATATTTTTTTCTGGAATTTTTGTTTTTTTTGGTCAACCATGTTACACTATGATGCTTTAGAATGTTATGGTCTAATATCTGTGAATGTAAAAGGCTTTTGGTTTTATTATAACTCTGGTGGGTAATTAGATTAACTGACATACCTGTACTTAACAAATACGTTAAAAGCTAAATTATTTCATTTATTTGATAAAAATTTCATTTTTTATCTGTTTTAATTTAATTAAATGTCACTCTTAAATTAAATATGTGCTACATTTTCTGATTTTCAGAAAAATCTTCAAATATTGGTATATTTAGTCTTAGAGCTAACTGCAGTTCGTTTGGAAAGTTTGAAGAGAATTATGTCGAAAGTTTTTTTTTTTTTTTTTTCAAGATATGCTTAAGATCTTTTTTTCGAGGTTATATTATGTTTGTCTTAGAAAATATTTTTTTTTTTACATTCCTGGCCAAGTACATTCTCTGGCTGTAAGGTCATAAAAGATGGCAGCCACTAAATAATTAATTAAACTATTCATATCTATGTTTATCCTTGAGATTGAGTTCCTTAAAATTTAAATAATTATGCTATTGTAATTATTTATAAATTGAGTATCAATATTTAGCGGTTAAAAAAAGCTAAAATTCTAAGCCTAAAGAATCAGATATAGTGAGCAGTACATAAATACTTATGAACTGTTTTTTAGGCTCAAAATTTATTATATTTTGTTTAAGATAGGGGAATTTTCTTTTAATATGCAATCAGAACATTCTTAAAATCCACCTATTTAAATCAGAATGCTATAATTACTATTTGCAATGTGCTAAAATACAAATCATAATATATTTAATATTTTATTCTTTGTATCTTGGAAGACCCTATAAATATTTAATAAAAATAAATAAATTGCACAGAAAAAACTTCATAACATAATTTACTTATAGGTCATAGTTGTACTTTTGAGTGTCCTTCGTATTGGATATGGAATGGAAAGTATGGAATTTATCAGATATGGTAAACTCTTACGATTTTTAAATCATGCTGACATGGGAACAATTACCCCAGACACTGGAGTGATAGGAGGTTTCTCTGATAGCGACTTACCTATAATTGGAGATAATAAACCAGTAAGTATGTTTGTCGGCTATCTGTAGAAAAATGTAAATATGCTGCATCCTCTGGTGTGTTGGAAAATCATAACCACATAGTGTTGGAAAACCATAACCATCCATGCAGATTCCATCATAAGCGTATGTGGTTTTTCAATCACTTTTTCAGTAATTATTGCCATGGGTTTCCACATAGTTTTAAAAATCGGAATGTTTTTAATATGCAGTTCTGATATGCGAATTTCGAAGTCTAGTTATTTTTCATGTGCTTTGTGTCCACTTCATCGTTTATCCAAGTGATTTTTCGATTGTGTTTTCGGCAGTTATTGTCAAATTTCTACATATTTGCTTAAATCTCTATATTTTAAATACCATATTGTTATGACTTCCAAGTTTCAAATTGCTCGTTTTAATAATCACTTTTAATGTGCTTTATTTGTGCTGATTTCATCCTTTCAACAAGCTATTTTTTTTTTTTTTTTGCAGTTATTGCTTCGCGTTTGAAAATCCCAATATTTTTAATACAATACTTTGAAAAGCTTTATTTGTGCCGATTTTGTCAATCAAAGTTATTTTTCAATACATTTTTTAGCAGTTGTTATGCATTTCCTCCTGGTATTGAAAATCCGGATATTTGCAATATATACAATATTTGCAGGTTTCGAATCACATATTTTAATGCTTGCTTTATTTATCAGTCAACAAGTCTAAATACTTAAGACCTGTTTACACGGTCCAAGTTCTTGAGTCTGAGAAATTGGAGGGATTTCTCTGTCCAAGAAATTGGATGATTCGTCAACACTATCCAAGTTCTTGAATGTCACTCATTGGTCGTATGAAAAACTTGCTCAACACGTTGTTCGTGATCAGCAATATAAAATAATAATTACATGAGTTTAAAATTACTAAATAAATTCAAATAAAATCATAATAACACAAATTAACCTTAATAGATTAATTTATTTGGACTAAAATATATGAAAACAGACAACAAAAGGACATAATCTGATGCCTGCTTGTTGACATCACAAAACCTAAGACGCTGATTGGTTAAGGGATAAAAAACTTGGATGGAAAGTAGAACATGCTCTACTATCGTCCAAGGACTTGGATCAAGTACTTGGATGGTCGTTTACAAGATCCAAGCTCAAAGCCAAACAAGTTTCCATCAATATCAATCTATCTTCATCCAAGAACTTGGATCGTCTAAACAGGTCTTTAGTTACTTAGTCTACTTCATTGGTCAACCTGCTGTACAAGTGGTTCTTTTCACTAATAAAGGTTGTGCACCCCTGATAAATTATTGAAATATAAAATTTTATTTGTAATATTTTTGGAAGTATAACTTTTTAAGAAACAAAACACAAGTGGTAGTTAAATCTCTTAATTTTTTCTCAAAAAGTATTTCCACAAATTTCTTTCAGTTTTGATAATATTCTTTCAAATCAGATAATTATTCTGTAGTTTAACAAAATGTAAAATTCCTGTTTAATTTGGGAAATTCGGTATCATTTTCTTTTACTTGATTTTCTAGTGAAAAAAAACCCTGTAGTGGTCCTGTCTTTGTGACCCACTGTTCCATAGTAGAGGTTATTTATTTTTTCTTGAAATTCTGGCTGATTAAGATCTAATTTTTTTAAAGAGAAAATGTACATTTTGTATTTTAAAATTATATAGTTTTAAGTTATTATGTTTTCTTTGTTTAATAGATTTTTTTTCTTCAGATAATTTTCCGAACTGGACCCAGAATGAATACTGGAAAGTCTGGACCCAGTCTTGAAATTCATCATGACCATACAATTATCTCTGGTGTTGAAGAGTTCTTAATTCAAAGCCCTACCTCAGGAAAAAAGATTTTTTCTACTGATTATAATGATTTCAAGTTACCTACAGGTGTCTCTCACTTAAGTGTTAAGGAAGCACATGTGTCCAGGGTAAAAAAAACTTTTTAAAGCTTTTATTTCAATTTCAGAGATATGTCAAAAAATTTTATTAATTCTATGTGGCTCAAACTTTAAATTCTTCTACTTTCAGATATTTTATTATTATTTTTTTTCCTTATCATGGCATAGTATTTTCTAGCTCTTTATTATTTGAACCTTAATTCTGAAGTGGTCTCAGTGAAAAATATGTTTGTGCGAAAAAATGACTTTTTATATCTCTTTTGATAGTTAAAAATATCATCCACTTTTAATTAATTAAAACATTTAAGTTCCATTGTATGAACTATTAAGATAACATTTAAGTTTGTGAAAATCATTTTATTCAATCAAAAGTTATTAAGGGGGCTCCACTTTTTTATGCCCTATGATTTTGGTACAAAATATTTATATATTTTACATTCATTCCTTAAAGACTTCTTAAATGTTAGCCCACATTATTTGCATCCTTAATTTTTTAGTTGCATCCTTTTTTATTACACAATTGAAAGAGTAAAAAATGTAACATTGTGATACAATGAATATTCTATTTAAAAAATAATAAAATTGTGCATTTATTTTCTTTAAATAGGATACTAATTATATCTTATAATTAAGAACTGTATGTTTACAGATTTTTGCACTCTTTTGTCCATTTTCCTCTGAAAATGTCATTTGTTTAGAATCTTACTTTATCAATGAATGCTATTTCAAAGGGAACACTTCTCATTTAAGGTAATGAGACGTAATTGGATATTGAAGGTCATGTTCTTAAATATTTGGGTGAAAAATATAAAGTTCATAACCATTAAAATTTTACATATTTTTTTGTGCAGTTTCTTACTCTGATTTTTTTTTAATTATTATTTTGTGAATAGTCATATTACTTTTAATTAAACATATTCAAATAAATCAAATAATTGTCGCTGGCGGCGGTCAGTGTGCGGGTGGGTGACCACTTGGATCAGTCTGCATAGGGACCGAGGGTGTGCGGCATTGGTCCTCGTTAAACTGTGCTACCGTAAAGTGCTCGACTTCGCGTGCAGGTCGTTGGGCTACCAAAGCGGGGGTGCCATCCCCTGTGCAGAGGATCAAAATTGTGATGGCATGTCTTCGGATCATCCTCAAGGATGTTTCCCAGACCGTCGTCAATAGCCCATTGTGCAGCTCTAGTGCGTCGTAAATGAACTACAACAACAAGTTAACATTATAGCATTTAACTGAAAAATGCTGTTTTATTGAATTGTTATATTAAATAATTCTTTTTATTTCTAACTTTATGAATAATTCTAATTAGTGCTTCTAACTTCTTTCTTTCTTACGGACAACCCTCGTAGGCAGACTATTTTTTTTTTGGTCCCAATAGTATCTGTTTAACTGAGGTTTCACTGTATATGCATAATATATTTCTTCATTCCTTTCACCTTGTGCAGTAATCTACAATGTCATTAATGTATCATTATCACGCCGCAAAGTGATAGTAAAAAAAATTTTACATTGATGTACTAAACAGGGAAACTGCTGAGATATGATCAAGCAAGGAAAATCATCCTGCTTTATTAGGCATTATTTGTAAAATGAACAAATATAGCTACACCTATCACATCAAAAACATATTATATTAACAAATTAAAATATTAAGCATCTTTTTTACCGAGGCGAAGACAATTTCTTTATAGGTATTGATTTTTATACAGCGATTTTGTAGCCTTTTCAGCAGTCAGGCTGAGAGACCATTGGATATCCAAAAACCTCGCAGTCCTACCGCTGAGAAGTTAACATTTCCAGTGAGTGCATAGTTGCTAATGGACAATTGGGAGCATGGGAAGAGGTCTAAAATTTCGTGAATTATCAATAGATAATATAGCCACAAATAATACCAACCCCGAGTTATAAATGAAATTTTGAAAAATTTAAAAGCTATGAAATATGTAATGCCTATATAATGACACCGTAATCATATTTTAACGAAATGCGGAATATATGAGTGACTTTGAATAATTTAACTAAAAATAGAATATTAAATAAATATTTATGCACCTTGAGTGTAACCGCAGTCTTATTATGACATAGCATGAAACTGTAGCATCAAAAATAGTGATTGCTTTGATTCTTAACTCTTTCAAGTTTAATGTTGTTGTTTAGTTGTTGTTGTAACTTTACTTGTACTTGATATAACTTTGATAATCTTAAGATTTATCTTCTTTCTGACACCAATGCCAACAAGCTAATCTTGAGCTGAAACAAAATAATGATAATTTTATAGATATAGACAGTAAACATTTTTGTTGCAAATGAAGTAGAAAACAAAATACTCCCCTGTAGTGTATTATATGCAAAACCAACTTAAATAAAGAGTGTTGATGGGTGTATTATGCAGAATAAGGATTTGAAACAAAAATCAGCATTTTTAAGAAATCTGAATTATACAATTTTATATTTGATTTTTTTTTTTTCTAAATTGATTTGTTTTGATTTTTATATGTTGTTTTTTATATTTTACTTTTAATTAAAAAAAACTGCTCAATATCTAATGGCAGAAAAAATACATATACTCAATACATTAGGAGTCAATCAACAGAATTGAAGAAAGAAATAGCTAGAATTTTTACCTAGCGTTCCACACCAAAGCTTGCATTTTGGAATTTTGAAGAATAAAACTTTAGCAAAATCTTTTCTTAATTTTTAAGCAAAAAATCGTACATTGAAAGGAAATATTTATAAGTGGTTATATTTATAAGTGGTCTATTCCACAATAAACCATAAATCACCACTCGAAAATATTTATCCACTCTCAGAAGCAAGTTGGCATCACTGATATTACATTATTTTTAAATAAATTTCTTGTTGTGAAGGAGGAAAGTTCTAAGTATATGTTGCATACATAATAGAAAATAACTTCTTTTTCTTGCTTTGAAAACAAACATCATTTAAAAGGCTTACATACATGAACTTTCTATTAGTAGTATACACATTAGGTTTATGTAATGTAGCATTTTGTTTTTATCTGTTTATGAAGCTATAATAGAATTTTGTTTTTGTCTTAGTAAATTATTTTTTTCCAGATTGTGAGTAAGAAAAATGAGTCACTAGAGATATCATCTCCTTATCAAGTAATATTAAAGGGTAATGAAGGTCTCACTATGGCAGGGAAAGAAATTGTTTGGGTTACTGGAGTTGATCTTTATCTCAAAAGTGTTGTAAGTTTTTTTTAAATATCTAAATCAATTGATAAAATATGATATTTTACTTTAATTAGTCAAAATTTTTGCTAAATATTTAAATACAATTATATAAAATTAAGGTAATAAAATTATAGTTAATAATTTAACTACACTCATGTCCTAAAGCTAAGGAACAAACAAATTTTTGTCTACAACCATTTTCACTAACATTTGAGGTTAGTGCAAAATATTTTTTCCAGTAGTAGTGAACTAAAGCAAAAGCTTTTAAAATAGATTGAATTTTAATAAAACTTTAATCAAATTTTTAGAAAGTAACCATTCTTCTATCTGACTTTTTATTTATTTTAATTATTAATATTAATGATGGATAAAATTCTTATAAATTCTAATTTATTAAAAGATTTATATTTTGCCTTTGCCATTACTGCATGCTACTCAAGAAATGCCAAACTAAGCTGTATAATATTTTATATGAATGCATGATTGATAGGATAGTTCTCTTTTTAACATTTTTTTTAAATTGTTCAATAAAATCTTTTTTTTTTATCATACTTTAAAATTAATCTTCTTACTTTATGGATATTCAAGTTTTTGCAGATTTTAGCTCATTTTTATATAAATGAGCGATTTCTGTCACTGTCGTATATATTACTTATTTCTTTCTAATATTCATGTGACATTATCCAGCTAAATTGTTAGGAATTGATAATTTTTCAATTTTAAATACTTTTAGAATCAAAGTATAATTCTTGACGGTGCAGATGGTGTTATGGTTTCTGCTGGGAAATTACCATTTGCTGCAGAAACCCAAGATAGTGCTCCTCGCTGGTACAAACTTTGTGTGTGTATGCCTAGTGGCCGTGTTTTTCGAATTCCTGTCCGTGAACAAGGCTATGGTTGTAATGATGTAAGATTTCCAGAAAGCATAAACCCATGTTCTTAACTAGCTTGATCAATTCTTATTGTGAAGCCGCTTGTATATTTATTAAATCTCATCTACATTTACACAAATTTAGCATTTATTTCTAAAAACGTAATTGATTTACAGTATTAGCTTTGTTTTTAAATGTTTTTTACTCAGACTTAATTGACACTATACTCGTCGAACTTTTTAAGGAATTATTAGTGAATTGTTCTGAGTGTAAATTAGTAATTATCAATTAATTGTCTTTTTCTTTTCATTTCTTTATATTCTTTCTTTATTGGTTTTACTCTGCTAACACAGAGATATTCATAGCCTTAATATGAATTGTGTTGTTTTTCACTTATTTAACGACAATAGCTGATGCATTCATTCTCATTTGTATGTAATTTTGTAAAAGGACAGAAACATCTTGTATTTAAGTTAAAAACTATGCGACTACTTACTAGTAAAAAAAAAAACGTTTAGCTCAAGTTATGTCATTGTTAGAGATTAGAAAATAAAAAAATTTAATGTCATAATTAAGCCTAGGATAATTTTTCAGAATCCCAAAATATTCAAACTTGTTATGTATCTTCAAAATAAACTTTTAGATTAATATCTTCACAATAAATTTAAATAATTCACTATTTCAGAAGTAATTATTTAGTTGTTTTTTTACTGCAGTACATAACTCTTTATCTGAAATTCATAACTCCTTATCTGAAAAATTAAGAAACTAGATCAAAGTTTTCATAATTTTTCTGCCATCTTTGAAAAAGCAGATATTTTCAAGTTACTTTTAAAAGGCATTATTTCCCTACCTTTTTTTTAAAAAAAAAAATTTCTATTTTCTTACTGTGTTGTAAATTAAATACCTAAAGTGTTGTTTTTCTTTCATATTACCAACATAAATTAGCACCCCATCCCCCTCTTGTTTTGAGTTTTTTTTTAACAATTCAATGAAATGGGTGATTAGACATAATCACTTTGACTCTTATCTCAAACTGTTGATCTTGAAGGAATATTTTGACTTTCACATGCACTGTGAGTCAAATGCACTTTAGTAAAGGCTGGTTCCATTCCACCTAAGTTGCTTTTATTAATTTTTTGCCATCACACATTGCATCACAGTACTTGTGTTAAAGTAGATTTGTTACATAAAATCGGAATACCTTGTTTGCCTTTTACAATTTTTTTATATTTGAATATCACCTTCATGTGTTTTATCCATTCTCTTTTCACAAAATCAAAATTTAAAATATTTTCTCATTTTAATTTTGTATCAGCAGAAAGAAAGCAATTATAAGTATTAAAAATCAAAATTTTAAAAGAAATAAATGCTAACTCTTTTAAAAAAACATTCAATGAATAATTTTTCAATGCTATTTATAAAAACAAAATCTTAAAACATAATTATCTGATTTTTGAATCTCCAAATGTGATGACTTTCCTGCTAAACATTGCTCTGAACCAAAATCTAAGATGCTTGCAAAATGTTAATGAACTGAATTCAGCAAATAATGTCATAAAAGTTTTCTAAAACTATAAAACCAAAAAATTTTACACTGAACTTGAAATAAAAAGAAAAGCTAAGATTTTAATGATAAATAATTTACTTGTTACTAAAAACAACAAGGTATTTGAGTGATAAAACTTCATACTGAAAAAAATCTGTAATTAGTTATTCAGCTATCTGTTGCTTTTTAAATCATGTTTATTGCTATGAAACAATAATAATTAAAAATCTAATCATTTTTTTTTAATTTTTAAAATGCTAGATTTAGCATAGGCTTAGAATAATTTTTAGAAGAAAATATTATCATGGTAGTATCATTGCATTATGATATCAGAAATAGTAGAAGTAAAAATTATTGAAAATGTTTCTGACCCAAAAGTAAATACATTAAACTGCATGTCTGTTTTGATAATTAAAATGTCAGTGCATTAAAATAAGTCGGGTTTTTTTTGCCATTAAATATTACTTGTAAATTGTAATTTGAAATCTAACTTGTAATGGTAGCAAGTACTTAATGCATGTGCCATTCTATATTTCTCCTCTTGTTGGGTGCATATTAAATTTTCTGAAATACTGACCTTCCCTACCCGCCTACTGTACACCATTCCATGATGCTTTAAAATCGCAAGTTAAACTTCTCAGGTTTCTCACCTCTAGTATTGTGAAAAATTTTGTCTGTGCATACCTTCAAATTGAGTTAACTTCTCATATTCAAGTATACTTAAATGGATTTATCACCTACTCAGCCACACTCCACATTAAATCCATAGGAGCTTTTTTCCCATTTATAAATTTAAGCACAAATAAAAAATTTTTATGAATTTAATTATGTGTTTTAACGCTTTTCTTGTGAAGTACGAATTTGGTTCATTGTATTGATTTATAGGAATTTATATTTATTAAGCTCATTGCTATTTTTAATTTTTATCAAATAGGTATTATCTGAGATGCTTTAATATGGGATGATTATCTTTATTAAAAAAATACAAGCATCAAAGATTATATAAAAGCATATTCTTTCACATGATTTTGGTATTTGATCGTTTTCTTTGTACCTGATGGTCTTCAACCATTTTATGCTCAATAATAAAATGTTTTTTTTTTTTTTTTACCATTAGAGAAAATCGATTGACATGTCAAAAAAAAACTGCTTCCCCTTCCCTTACAGTTCAATTTTGAACTATTGTTATAGGTCATTTTATTTCACTTTATGGAAGAGAATTGTATGATATTTTTTTCAGAAAAGTATTGAAATAAAACTGATACAATTGTGATCTGAATTGAAAATACATATGCTACAACTTTTATGTTTAAATTAAAGTTTTTATGATTGCTTATAAGATATATTGTGTATTAAAAAGGTAAGACTCTATAGAGTAAGATTTATTAATTTCATTTCAATTTCACATTTAAAAGACTCAAAACTGTGTAATAAAAAAGCTGCATTGTTTAGATATAAATGTTAATCTTAGCGTTAAGCAATAAATTTTATATTTTAACAAAATTTAGATATTTATAAAACAAATATGTTTCATAAATAATAGCTAACATGGTTGTATTATATTTTAAATGTTTCTCTAATCGTACTGACTATTTTATATTTGTTTATTTTAGTATTTTTAAGTGTTTTTCACAATTATTGCTGCCTTTCTCTTTTATAAATTTTGTATTTTACCTTTCTTTACAAAACAAATAGATCATATTATAAATTCAGGCAAATCTGTTTTGCGCAATTTTGTTTGTTTTGTTTTGTGCTATTTTCTCATATTTATAAATTTTAAAAAACTTAGCTAGATATAGGTTTCATGAAGTCTTTGACTATTGGTAATATAGCCTGTTGTCTGCAGTTTAAACAAGTTTTAGGTATTGAGTAAATTAACAGTATCATTAAATTGTGTAATTCCAGAAATTTCGAAAAATTCGAAAAGCTTTGCTATTTTTTCAAAGCGTAGCAGTTTGGGATTTTTGAGGTCCTTTGCATATCTCTAAAGCTTACAAAAGATTTTGACACTGCTTGAGTCAAAACTAGCGACATCGGTTGATTAAAACCAAAATTGAACCTCTAATACTGTATATAATTAATTTCACTGGTTAAACGGTAAAAAAACGGGATGCACTCCTCCATAAAAGAATAAAAACAAATGCCCACGGGATGAGCAGCCAGAGAGTTAATACTGGCTCTAATTATTGTCTGACTCTTCATTTAATGCTTGAAAAAATTTAATAAAGTCAATTTTGCATTTTTTTCATATTGTACTTTAAATCAAAGTTATTTTCTATCAGAGTTTCCAAGAAAATGCGCTAATTTTGAGTTTTAAAATATAGGGACTGTTAAGGAATCGTAGAGCAATAATTAAGCCCTTTTTAACATAAAAAAATCTTGTCTTTTGTGTAATAAAATAATGTTGTGTTGTTACAATATATACCCTTCTGTTCCTGTAAAAATGTATGTGACATTTTCTTTTTAATCTGCAGTCTTCCTTCACTGTTTTATTACAAATAAGTGTTATTGTAGATATAAATTTATAGCTGTTAATTGTAAATGTATTTTTTGGGTTGAAATGTGATATATTTTAATTTAAGTTGCTTTTTTTTAAATATTTTTCTCTATTTAATGGTATTTAAGATTTTGATATGTTTGCAATTGTTAAAATTTTCTTATTTTTTAGTGATTGAATTAGAAATTCAGTTTGGGGAAATAACTAAATGCTTCTGAATAGAAAACTGGATTTTCTAGGTGTTTTTCAAAAGCAATTTTCAGCAATAAAAAAAAATTACACACTCTTTAAGCTCAATAGTTTTAAAGACAAAAAATATCTTTTTACAATAGTATAGTAAAAAATAGCACTTGGTCAATTTTAAAATATATATTTCATTACAATCATCAATTATTTATGTCAGTGTGTGTTTTATTTATCAACAGCAATAAACAATCTCCCCCCGCACAATGACTTTACAGCAGTAAATGCTTATCTCTGCTTTTTATGTAAAGGTTTCGACTGATTTACACCTATTGACTCTTTGCAGTCGTATTTTACTGATACTTAATAATAACTGAGAACAACCATTTAACTGCAAATGAATAATTTTTTAAATTTTGTTTTCTAATTGGCTTTGAATCATGCTTATTAACAAACTGTCCTATTTTTTATTTAAATTATCTAAATTAAATAGGGTAATAAAATGTTTTTTAAATTAGGAATCCATTTTTAAAAAAAACTAATAGAAAAACTTCAGAAAATATTTGTTTTGTTTTTTCTTTGTGTGATTAGACCAGTTTTATTTATTTATTTATTTTTGAGGGGAAGATTTGGGAATTTGAAGCATTATTTCATACAGATTCCATTCCTTGGTTTTCTTCTGCCTCTTAGCCTTTAATTTTTTACAAAGCCATTCTTTACTTCTGGAATAATTTTAAATTATAACAAATTCATGTATGCAACTGCCCTTTCAAATTTTAATAATTTCTTAACGCTGTGTTTACCTTGAATTTTGTATGATGTCTAATGAGCAATATATATCATGCTTAATGCAATGTTTAGTGCAATATATCAAATGTTTAGTGCAATATGTCATGTCTTTCATATGCACTAGAAAATTCTGATTTTTAACTCTTTAACTGTGATCGATGAACTAGTTCAAAGTAGAATCTGGATGCTTTCCTGCACATCTGACTAATTATCATTTAATTCAAATTTCAGTCATTTCTAGCAAATTTATTTGAATAGATTGTCAGTTAAAGGGTTAAAATATTTATTTATGAATGTACTTAGTTGCCAAATTTATAACTGTTAAATGTAATTTGTGTGTTTTATTTTTGTTAGAATACTGTTTAATACTGTTTATTGGTTTAACATTTGTGATATTAAAAATAATTTTAGAAATGTGTTAGCTTTTTATTTGGTAGTGAATATTTAAGAAGACTAAAATAAAATACCCATTTAACCAGAATTCAACCTGCAATTAAACTGCACACAATACCTCCTTATTTAAAACTTTTCGATGTAAAAGGATTTATTTGTCCATGTATACTCGCTAATTGTTTCTAAATGTATGTGTCTTTAAATAAATTGCATTTGTATTGAAAGTATTATCAAACACAAAATAGTAGCTTATTATCAAATTTTTAGATTCCTTTAAAAATAATACCCTTCTTCATATTTGGATTTTGCCCCTAAAAGTAACTTTTTCCAGTTGATTTCTGTGTTTTATCTTTCGAGTATTCTTATTATTAATTTATTTTTTAACTCTAAAAACCTCAAGATTAATATAATGTTATGCATTTATTTTGGCGTTTTATTGACCAAACTTGCTTGGTGTCTTGCTTGACCAAGGAAATTAATTATTCAGTTTCTAAATGTGAAACTGATAAATTAAAATGAAAAGGATACTGTTCTGTCTGCCAACATATTATTACCTGAGGTGTATTACACATTTTTCCTGCTTTGCAGAAATACAAGTTAATTTGAAGAAAAAAAACTATTCAATACCACCCAAAAGACTAGTAGCTTGGTAAATCACCTTTTATAGTGAGCTTTTAAATTCTATTTCTTCCATGATTTGAGATTTTAAATTTATTAACATTTCATCTTTTAATATACCCGTGACTGATGTTCTCTTATTTATAGAATGTTGTTCAAAAAAATCTATTATGTTGAAAAGCCTTAAATTATTTTTTTAATTTTAAAATTCAAATTTTAATTTTTATCTGTATGGTAAAGAACTTGGAAATTACTCTCATATTTGTTGAATTTTGTACTTTTCGAATGAATATGTGTCAAAAATCAAGTTGGATTTATTGAATTTTCTCTTCATTGCCATTTAACTGTGTTTTACTATAATCTCTTTTATTAATATTTTTGCTTTGTATTTACCTTTTTATTTTCCAGTTTAGATTGCTAGTTGTTAAGATTTAGATCCTATATTTCCAATGTGGATGCTAACATCCCCCAGGAAACGTTGAAAACTCCAAAAGGGCATTAAGACTTTCAAGAGAATTTATAAAACTTACAGTAAAAAACTATTTTAAGTATTGAGTACTCATAAAAATATATTTTCGTTTGATTTGTATTGAAAAATCAATACATATTTAATTTTGCATGCATTAAATGTTAGGAGCAATATTAATGTGGCAATTTATTGAGAAAAGAATTATGAATCAATTATAGTGAAAATAACACCTTGATTGCTGTTCTATACAAAAACTTTTAAAACTAAAGAGTTCAATGAATTTTTTATTTTGTAAAAAATTATTTGGATATTTTTTTTCATTTATTTTGAACATTATGTTACAATAGTTATGGATTTCTAAAATGACCTGTTGAAAAGTTATTTTATCCTCCGCATAAAAGTTCACAGTAAATAAGTATTTACCTTTGTTATGTATAGTATCCTTTTCTAATTATAATGAAACAATGAGTCTTGTTCATCCTTACATCATTAGAAAAAGCGTCTGATACAAGGACTATATAGAAAGAATTTATAAATATATCTTTTGAGAAATATCAGAATTGCCAATTGAATTTTAATTGCCAATGCCCGCCACCAGGGCTGATCCGAGGTGTAAGCGGCTATGTAATGGCGTCGAATGAAGGGGCCACCAAACTGGTATAACTACATTTAAAAAAAGTTTTTACGATCTTATTTTTTCCTTTCTAAAAGCTTTTTTCTCTCACTTGCTTGTTGAAAATAACATTGAAAATGCACTTATTTTCCTAACACTTTTTTTTAATGGTGATCACTTGGGTCTATTTCCCATTGGCCTCAGAATTGGTACTCTCTTATTGTTACCCAGTGGGCACCTGTGACTAAGCCAAGGCGGTGGAGTAGTATAGCCCACGTCATGCAACCGCAAACCAGTTTATAGGGCGATTTACATTCACACACAGATGAAAGGACATCCATGTCTATGGTGGGATTCGAACTCACAACCACTGGCCTGTAGTCCAGTAAAATAAACACTGGACCTGTGATCAGCCTGAAATAAAATTTTAAAATATGTCTAATATTTTGGCAACCAATAAACCCTACCAACCGTACCTACTTCCTTGTTTTATCTCTTTTCGTCAGTGCCGATGACATCTTGCCCTGTGATAATTTGCGATCTGCAAATACAGATGACGGTTGACTGTTGAGTTAAGTACAGATAACTATTGAGTTTCCTTCAAGAAAACTCATTTGGGCGGGAAGAAATCGAAATTTCCTTTAGTAATTCCACCTCTTACAATGTTCTAAGAAAAATCTGCTTTGTAAAGGCTGACACTTTTTCTGTAAAAAAAATTTATAAATAAATAAATAGAAAGCTGTAAAGATTGGTGCAACATTGGGCTATTCACAAAAATTATTGATGCAAAATGTATAAGAAAAATGAACTGACAAAAAGTTGTTTCTGATTTGTCAGAAAAATTAACAAATTACTATGTTGGAAGATGTGAATAACAGACATACCTTGAATTTTCTGGTACACAGTGCTTTTTTAAAAAGCATCCATCAGAAACTTATATTAGTTTCTCAAATTATAATTGTCCATCAGCAATTACAGATTCAAGTTACTCTTACATTCATCCTTAAAGTAAGTACGAAATTTATTCCTTTTCTTCAGATATTGTAATATTAATTTAAATGTCTTATAATCATTTTGTTTTATTTTATTAGTACATTATTTTTTAAATGCTTAAATTTTAGTTTAAAAAAATTGAAAAAGCATATATATATATATATATTTAATTAATATAAAATAATGTGAACTTGTAAGATTAGTATTGATTTTTCTTTCTTCGAAATTCTCCATTCTATTGAATTTTCTTTTACTCTTTGGGTAATTTAAAATATTTCCAAATTAAATTAAAATCATTAATTATTTTTAATTTTATCCTCTAAATTTGTTAAAAACAAACTTTTATGACTTTTAAAATGACTTGTTAAAACAGATTTTTTTTATGAGTCCAGAGGGACGCATATTAACTTTTCTTATGTATTCCAGACACTGGCGTCGGAACCATAGGGGTCCGAAGGGTCCGGAACCCCCCCAATAATTGGGAAGCCAGGGTTCATTATTTTGAGAAAATATTTCCGTTTTGTTTCCATAACTTTTTATTTCTCTCTCTCTTATTTTTACAAAGCACAACTTATTATATTATATTATTAAAAGAAAATTAGTAAAAAATAAAATACACACAGAAAAATGCACTGTCTGAAAAAATAAAACAGGTGTTTAGAGAACTACAAGAAATGTCACAGCCACCCTTTCCTTCAATAAGCAATAAAACACTCTTCCCACCATTCCTTCTCACTGTTAACTGATAAAGACGATTCCCCCTCAACATAACACACATAGTCATTTGATACCCAAAAATAGCCGCCTTAGTTTAGGATACGGGAAAATGGTTAGCATTTTTAACTTATCTTTATCGTATTTATGGCCCTGGGCTCTTTTGTCCTCTTTTTTAAAATGTCAAATATCAACAGACCCCTACCTATTCATAAATTGTCTCAAACAGGCAATTATCTAGAATTTCTAGGGGGGATTTCAGTAGGGGGAGATTCTTGTAGANTGATTAGTTTTTTTGGGAGATTTAATAATATTAAGTATAAATTTTTTAGTTTCATTGTTATTATTACCCAGCTACAAGCTTGTCTGGCCATTGAAAAAGATTTTGTGAAATAGTAGTATAATAATACTCAAGGTAATAAAATTTTTCTAAAATATAAGCTACTTCATTGAAACTTGAAAGCATCATAGCTGAAATAACATTTCTTATATGCAAAAGTTTAAATCATTGTTTTGCCATGGTCGGTAAAATAAATTAAGGTTTAGCTTTTAAAATTGAGATTTATGAGAATTTCACACATATATAAGTAACATAACTTTTGCATAAACATAAATATTGCAACCGCTAGAGAAATTTTTTCACCACGGCTTTACAAGTTAGCACAGTAATTACTAATTTTAAAGTTTCAATTATTGCATGCCAAGATTTATAAGAAAAATGAAATTAATAGTTTTCAGAAATCATTTTCAAAATATAACTATAACTACTTTCTCAATTTGAAATATTTTATCTTTTATTGCTGCTAATTAGGACATAACTGTTTAATGAGTTTGAAGACATTATAGGCTAAACTTTATTTATCCTCTAATGAAATTTTAAAAATATTACCTTCATTTCGAAAAGTCTTTTAAAGAATTAATTAAATAGATATAAGCACTAAGAAATAGCACTTAATTGTCATAAATCTCTAACAGTTTGAATAAGAATTTTAATTTACCATAAATAGTAGTTGCGGCATTTCACCAGGAATTAGCTAAGTTTTTTTTGATATTTTTTTTTATTTTTATTTTTTTTTACCTATGCTGTTAGAGATTTTGAATATCTAACAGCATAATATTCACACTCGGTCGATGCATGTATTTATATATCGATGTATGTATAGGTGGATGTATGGGTGGATGCTATTCAATGAAAATAGCTGTTTATAATCATATGATATATGTCATACTTGGGACAGAAACTGAAAAAGGTTTGAAGCGTAAACTATATTAACTTTCAATTTTATTACACAGATGGGCATCCAGTTTTAACAAATTTACACTATATTATGTTTTAAAGTTTAATTATTATTTTTTGTCCCCTGGCAAGTGTGATATAACAAGGCTTCCTATTATTAGTATTAATTTCACTTTATGTTGCAGTTTTAGGTTTTGTTCCGTAATGATCACTTTTTATTTTTTGCTTACCATAATAATTTTTTTTTAAAAATGCTTACTTATTTTCTTAAATGCTTTGTTTGTTTATGGATATATTTAATTCTTTATAAATTTTATATTAGGTTAAAAGTTGTCTGAATGCTTTCTTACACGAGAAATATTTTCTAAATGTTTACTAA